TTTCTTTTCATCCTACCCTTGGGGCCAGGTTTGCTTCTCGCAGAATGATCCCAACATCGCTGCCGATTCTGTCGCCGAAGTTGTCCTTCAGGGTATGGAACTTTTTGTTCCTTCCTCTGTGGTTCCCATTGGTAGAAAATCCCAGCCTTGGTTTGGTCACTACTGTAAACTGGCATCTCGCCAAAAACAGATGTGTTATCAGGCCTGGGCAAACGCAGCGGCAGTCGGGGATAACAACACTAGCGATCTCAAAAAGAAGTATAACTTGGCCTCCAGGTCCTGCAAAAGAGTAATTGCCAGAGCGAAGCCGGAGCACATTAGCAGCATTGGCGAGAGATTAATAAAACTTCCCTCTGGAACTCGCGCGTTTTGGTCTCTTGCCAAGGCTGTTGAAGGAAACTTTTGTACGCCATCCCTTCCACCCTTCCCTGCACAATGGCGACGAATCGATGGCATATACTGCAAAAGAGAAAGCGGATCTTTTATGCTCACTCTTTGACTCGACTCTAAATGACAGGGGATACATACCGCTGACCATCCCGCGGTGTGAGAGTTCTATGCCAGAAATTCGGTTCACACAAAGCTTAGTGCGTAAAGTACTCTTTTTCCTTGTCATCCACAAGTCGAGCGGGCCTGATGGAATCTCACCAATTGTGCTGAAGACGTCTGCTCCTGAGTTGGCTCCGGTACTAACGCGTCTTTTCCGGCTCTCCTACTCTTTAGGTCTCGTTCCGAACTCATGGAAGACAGCTTTAGTGCACCCGATTTCTAAAAAAGGCGACGTCTCACTCCCTACTAATTATAGGCCTAGCCATCACCTCCTTGTTCACCAAGATAATGGAGTCCATTATAAATTGCCAGCTCCTGCGGTACCTAGAGGACCACCAGCTGATTAGTGACCATCAGTACGGTTTCCGTCAGAGTCGCTCGGCTGGTGATCTACTAGTATACCTGACTCATCGTTGGGCAAAGGCGATCGAGACCAAGGGAGAAGCATTGGCGGTCGGTCTGGATATCGCGAAGGCCTTCGATCGGGTTTGGCACAAAGCGCTTCTTTCGAAGCTTCCTTCTTATGGGCTTCCTGAAAAACTGTGCGTTTGGATCACTAGCTTTCTTGCGGACAGGAGCATCAAGGTCGCAGTCGACGGTGCATGCTCGGACTCCAAATCCGTAAACGCTGGTGTTCCGCAAGGCTGTGTGCTATCGCCTACGCTGTTTCTTCTTCATATCAATGATATGCTTCAAATTGATGGCATTCATTGTTATGCAGACGACAGCACGGGTGATGCCCTATATACCGGCCGCGCCAACATTTCACGCGAAAACATCATCGAGTGCCGGAACAAACTTGTGTTTGAAGTCGAAACTTTGTTAAACCGAGTAACGAATTGGGGCCGACTTAATCTAGTCCAATTTAACCCTACGAAGACACAAGAATGCGCGTTCACCGCAAAAAAAATACCATTTGTATTTGTGGCTCAGCTAGTATTGGAATTCTTGGCGTTGACATATCGAGCGACGTCTAGTTTCGGGATCATTTAGAGGGCAAGGCCAAATTGGCCTCTAAGAAGCTTGGTGTGCTCAATAGATCGAGAATGTACTTCACACAGGCCCACCAGGACCTTTCCGATCAGCTTGATCCTTTGGCTTTGCGTAGGGATGTAGCTTCGCTCTGCATCTTCTATCGTATTTATCACGGGGAGTGTTCCGAGGAATTGTTCGGATTAATTCCAGCTGCTGCATTTCGCCATCGTACATCGCGACAAAAATTTCATCCCTATCATCTTGATGCGTGGCTATCCACAACAGTGCGTTTTTGTCTAAATTTTTTACCACGTACGACAAAACTGTGAAATATGTTGTCGCCAGCAGTGTTTCCGGACCAATACGACCCAAAGACCTTCAAAAAAAGAGCGTACTCCTTCCTTAAAGGCCGGCATCGCATTTGTGATACTCCTGGTGTTGCAAGTGTCCATGGGCGACGGTGATCACTTACCATCAGGTGAGCCGTCTGCTCGTATGCCCCCTAACATAAAAAAAATACAACCCTAAATTTTCACCCTTCTACCACCAACCCCTATTTTTTTATGGCGGTACGAAGTTCGCTGGGACAGCTTGTAATATGTATAATTCTCGAGTCACGGTGTGCGTAATTGAACTACTCCGAAACAGTTGGTTTTTGAACCATCCGTGTAGACCCGTAGTTCCTTGTGCAAACAGCGGTCCGGAGTGTCTTCATACAGTTGTATTTTATGTTGTTGTTGTTGTATAATCCCAAACGTAAGCAGAAACTGTGGGCCCTTCAGCTTGAATTAAGCAGAACCACGGTGAAAATGGTGTTAAATGAAGACTTAGGGCTTCGGGCATATCGAAGAAAACCAGGACATCGTTTGAATGCTCATCTAATGGACCTGAGACTGAAGAGATGCCGCGCTTTGTTGAAGCGGTACTGGAAAAAAATATCGGGAAATTCTTTTTTCGGATGAAAAAATTTTTACCGTAGAAGAGAGCTACAACAAACAAAATGATAAGGTGTACGCACACAGTAGTGTAGAAGCGAGCAACCGTATTCCACGAGTCCAACGAGGTCATTTTCCATCCTCGCTCATGGTATGGTTGGGAGTTTCTTATTAGGGCTTAACAGAGGTACATTTTTGGGAGAAAGGTGTAAAAACGAATGCAGTTGTGTATCAAAATACAATCCTGATGAACCTTGTGGAACCTGTTTCTCATACCATGTTCAATAACAGGCACTGGGTATTCCAACAAGATTCGGCGCCAGCTCATAGAGCGAAGAGCACACAAGACTGGCTGTCGGCGCGAGAAATCGACTTCATCCTGCACGAAGACTGGCCCTCCTCCAGTCCAGATTTGAGTCCGTTAGATTACAAGATATAGCAACACCTGGAAAAGCCGTGCTCAAAGCCTCATCCCAATTTGGAGTCAATCAAGACATCCTTGATTAAGGCAGCCGCCGATATTGACATGGACCTCGTTCGTGTTGCGATAGACGACTGGCGGCGCAGATTGAAGGCCTGTATTCAAAATCACGGAGGTCATTTTGAATAAACTTTATTGTCATAAGAATCTATGTTTTGTTAAGTTCATTTTGGTATATAAATGGTTACATAATGACTAAACTTGTTTCAATTATTTTATATTAAACATATTCTAAGCTATACTGTATATTGTGTTGTACGATTCTTGTAAAACTGGCTTGTGAAATAAATAAATATTATTATTATATTATATGACAGAATTTATGACCTGACTAGGTATATATATTATCATAAGGACTTACTAGTAGTAGAATCTGTTAGGTTATGTTATTGATGATGAAATTGAAATTGTCATTTTTTTATTGCACAGGATATCTCATAAAATAGTCTAAAAATAGAGAACCGTAAAGAGCCTTACAGACAGTGGCGGCATGCGGCCGCGGCTCGTCTTTATTGGTCACTTGTGTTTGAACACTCGCTCACATTGTATGCTAATACAATTGGCCGCCACCCCCAGTTCCAGCCTCTGTCTGTGAGACACTTAATTCTTTTACCAACCCATTCAATTTAAGCTTTTCTTGCAGATGACAATGCAATATATTTATAACATATAGTTGATCTAACGATGGAGTCTAGAGTAGTAATTATTTATTAAAACAACGAAACTATGTCACGTTCGAAACAAATACTGTCAAAATTAATTAATTAAAACGCTTACATGTTTGTATACTTATTTGATATGTAGTTTAGTGCTTTATATTAGATTACTTAAAAAACTTATACATATTATATTAAGAATTTACATTCAATAAGAAGTGCTTGCAAGATATTATGAATGAACGAAAATATATTAAAATAGGCTTAGTAATAGTGGGCACTTACATTGTTCACCGAGGGACAAAAATCTATTATAACATAGCGTTAATAACTGTAACATAGTCCAAGACTACTACGGTTGTTATGCTAAATTGCCATGTTTCATAAATAAAGATAATTATTAACATGCATAACTACATATTTAATCAAAATTTAATTTTAACCTTTTCTTAACTTTAATTTGTCATCCTGTGTCAACCCTACCCAAAAAAGAAAAAATTTCGTCCGCTCTATAGAAGCTCCTGTCTATATTTACTACGTGTGATTGTATATTCACAAAAGTGTACAGTATCAAAGTAAAAAAAAAACGTATTCAAAATCGGGCGTGGCGTAATAAGACTGCATCGCTGTTGGGCAGAATACGCGAGAGTGGCAACAGTATTTTAAACATTATTGCTAGCAAATTTGATAGTCCTCTTATGAGGAAATTTACCCAGATTACAAAATCACTTTTAGAAATTAAGTACTAACATAATTTAAGTATCTACTAACATATTTTAATCATGTTGTCCTTATTTGAACATTAAACAAATAAATAAATTCACTTGAATTCTTTGACATTTAAGTACATTAAATTATATTACACGATATTTTAAATTATATGACTTTAAATGTAGAATATTAATTAATTACATAAATTCATTTTGTTTGACATTTGGTTTAGATTACTTTCTATATTATATATGTTACGCTCAAAGATCGAAAACTCTCAGAGAGCGGAAAAATAGCTCACAACGCGTTGTGGTTAGAGTAAAACATTCACATGGCGAAATTCGTGTTATGGCTCTAATGAAAACGCGCACGACGCGTTGTGGCAATCACAGAAACACCAAATAGCGAAATTCGTGTCGTGGCTGACATGCTATTTGATCTAGAATGTAGTTTTGATCAAGCGAGTAATTTTGTTTTAACTATGAGTAAGTCTAAGGCCCACTTATAGCAAATTTGCGTAATCTCGATTTAACTTAAACTATAAATATTTAATATATACAAACACGTAAAAATTTATAATCTAGATTAAAAAAATACAATCTTGTATAGGCTATATTATCTTGTTTTAGTTAAATTAAGACTAAGCAAATTTGCTACAAGTGTATCTAAATAACATAAAGTGACGATACTTACACTCCTCGGAAATTTGTAATTCGATCTTATCTAGATTTTCGATTTCGTCATCGTCGAAGTCCGTCTGCACTGTGACGTCTCGCGTGTAGTTCTCGAGCGCTATGACGTCAAAGGGCGCGCGCTCTTCAGGGCTAGGCGCGCGCGGGGTGAGGTCGTCGGGCGCGTCTACTGCCTCTTGGCGCGCGCGCTTACACGCCGCGCAACCACACAGCGAGCCGCGCACACGCAACAGCCACACCAGCCCGAACAGCGCCATCCAAGTGGTCATGCTGCGACTGCTATCATCACTGCACTTCACCGATACTCGCTCAACTCTATCATCATTTTTGTTTTTGACACTTATCTATTTGTAGCACAAAGCATTACTCCATCACTACCACTGATAGTGCTCTATTTCAATGTTCATATTTTTTATAAATTACTCCCGTTTTCACAATTCAGTTACGACTGCTTTGTAGCTTTTACAGAATCGATATAAATTTTTGTGGATTTAATTTTGTTTTCCATTCAGCTGAGTTCCTGGATTTTTTTATCGAACATGAACATTCTGATACAAGAGCAAGAGGTTTTAACGAACATACATTTTTTTTTACTTAAAAACTTAGACCAAAATATGTCATCAACATAGGCTTATCTTATAAATGTGATAATATTATTATTCGTTAATTTTGCTTTCATGGAATCATAGCTCTCCGATAAAAAGGCAGGAATAAGCGGAAAAACTGCAGTAGCAACGGTTTACGTTCTATCTTTAAACTTTTCATAAGAAAGTTTTCTATCACCATCTATATAATGTTTACAAGAAACTTGTTCTCGAAAAATCGTTTATTCATAAAAGTATAAATGAAGTGTATAAATGAATGAAATCGTAGAAAATCCTATAAAAACCCGACAAATTGATCGAACGTGACGCTCGTAAAGGTTTTAATAAATCTTAAAGTAGAACAAAAATAATAAAAGTGCGCGGTAGTCTTCCGGGTGCCTTGGTTATGATATAGGAAGGACTCGATGAAATGATAAATGAGGGCAATACATTGCAGCCTCCGAGATATAAATGGCAGTCCTTAGGAAGAAGGACTCATGAAAAATATCAATTCGTCCGAGGCGATCGCTAAATTCTACTAAGCTCGTGTACGCACTCGGAAAAAAATAAAACGGCATAACGCTATAATCCATCCAGGAATACGGCCCAATTCCCCTCCAACAGATGCTTGGCTGCATATAAATTCACGACTGTTTCCTAATTAGATATGTTTCGAAGAAACAACATTATGTGTTTCTATAGTTTGTACTTACGTAATACGTATGTGTTTTTTTATCATTTTCTCGTGTTCATTACTGTACATTGTCTCGAATCTGTGTACTACTATGTTGCTGTGAAATTTGTTCTTGCTATTTAAAAAAAAGCTGTCCTGCAATAAATTTATGTATCTTTTGACAGATCAACAAAATAATTTTTGTGAAATATTTCACATTCACATACCAAAAAATTGTTTTAATATAAGTAATGCTTTTTGTTTATCGTTTTATAAACTGATGCCTTTCCAGCTACGTTTCTATGGTTCCTCAAATAAGAAAAACGGAAACATATTTAGTAGTGCCACCATTGTGTTGAACTGTATCTCATAGTAAAAAGTGTGTAGTTGATATTTTTTTATCTGTAGTTCTCTCTGTATTGAAGCAATAACAAAAAATAATAAAGTAAAATAAAAAGGAACAGAATACGATAATATTCCCCTTTTTATAAACTTTCGATAACGTATTCTCACGTCTTTTACGTAACTCTTCAATAAAATTCAATCTGACAACTTAATTATTTCACAATAAAAAAGAGGCCTAAATATTTACGTGACGTTACATTTCCAATTCTCAAGAAGCCTGTCGATATCGGTTAAATATGTTTAAGGGGTACAATATAATATTTAAGAGAATTCTAAAATATTTACAGGGTTTCTTGAGAAAAGAAAATAACGAATTATCATATGTATTACGTTTGTCTAGTCTAGCGGGCAAGACAAAGAAAATCCCCACAGTAACAAGATAATTAAGTTTTATGAAAGATTATTTGTTCATAGTTTTTGGAAGATAAAAATAACGTTATAAATAATATGAAACACGAAGTTAATGCAAAAAAAGCTAAAACGCTTTGCAGTAAATGAGTTTGTGAAAAAATCTGGTTCCATTTTATAGCAAGAAATTGGAGTCATTAGGTTCACATTAAATAAATTCCATATTTTTCTTATTGGAAAGAAAACCTCATCTGAATATTAAGTTTGCTTATTAATCTATACTTATATTATAAAGAGGCAACATTTGATTGTTCGTTTGTATTGGATAGGCTCCGAAACTACTGGACCAATTTGAAAAATTCTTCCACATTTAGAATTACAGATTATCTCTTACGAAAATAGGCGATAGAATATTTAAAAAAAAGTAAGGAAACCGTTTGAGATCTTCGATAATGTAACCCAACTGAAATGACAAAAAAAATACCAAAAAAATACCTTATATGGCGTTCGATGTGGAAATTATTGACAATAAAGCAATTTGATATTCTAAAGTTTTATAGAGGGCATTAATAACTACAAAAAAAGTGCTGAATACCATATGTCTAACTATTAAAGTTACGTTACAATAACTACGTTTTCATACTTAAATATGCAATAGTAACGCCGCGCCCCGGTACACACTAGGCCACATTATTCGTACCTGTGTATCAATCCTTATCCAAATAAATCACATCGTATTCAAGGTTATAACTATCAGTGCCTGTATTTTTTTTAACTATACCATTCCCAAGTTCCGTACCATTCAAAAGTTATCATGGCTCTAATAATTTTGAGTGATAAACGCGATGTATGTGTACAAAACACAGCGTCAATAAATTCTTTTAATAGGATAAGCATAGACGAATGGTAAGAGACACAACCTTTTTTTAACCAACAGATCAATGGTGTACAACGGGTCATAAACTACGTAACAAAGTTTTCACTGCCAGTTATATATTTTTTCAGAGGAGGTTAATATAATATAAATCATCCAAGCCTGAAAACAAAAACTATAGTATCCACCGAAGCAAAGCGAGGGTGGGCCACTAGTGTACATAAAAAAGTCGCGAGAGTAAACAAAAATCCCCAGAGATTTCAACAGCTCGCCAGCGGATTTCATTTATAGTATAATGCATAATTTACATTTCGCAATAATATTATGTCAGTGTAACTTAGTTTCGTTTCGTCGCTTACCTACGTCTTCTCACGCTATTACCCAGAGAAATGCACGGAATACTACAATTTCAAAAAGAAAAATATACTTAAATTTTCATGTTGGAATGAAGTCCACACAATAAACATAAATGTACTCTTATAATTTTGGTGCCTGAAATATTAACAAACGAATTGAAAGTATAATAGATACTTCATTTAGATCCTCTTTTATTCGAATTAAGATCTTGATTAAATGCTTTTTAGGGTTCCTTTCCCAAAGGGTAAAAACGGAACCCTGTTGCTGTCACTCCGCAGTCTGTCTGTCAGTCTGTTCGTGTGTTCATAAGTCACGGGTCTCTAGATCGCAAAGGGACTGAGACGCGGAACTGAAATTTTAGATGTTTTTATAAAACGCTTGCATTTAGTTAAAAATGCAATTAAAATATTTTTTATCGGGGGTCCCATACATGAACAGGAGAACAGATTTGTTTTTTTTTTACCTCAGCATGTGTAGCTCATCATTGTCTAGAACTCGTTGAGTAGGATATAAATATAATTTTTATTATTATAAATAACGTCAAAGTTGTAATTTTTAGACCAGTCTTTTTACGGGGTTTATCTCAAAGACTAAACTAGATGAGAATTTAAAATTTTGATATATTATCCCATATGCTGTACTTGAACAAAAAATACTGAAAACGCGGATTCATAATGTACTTTGTAGGCTGTGACGAAAACAAAGAAATGATTTTTCCTTTCGCAGTATGTTGTGATCTCCTATATTACAGCACCGACGTGATTATTTTGCCCTTTTTTCTGGATATAATAATATAGTGTCTAATTTTTAAAGATAATGGCACAGAACCCTTTGATTCAGAAACAGTCACAATCATAGATGAGTCCAAACAACAGTAACACTTTTACAACATTCACTAAAATCACATTATCAAAAGTAAAAGACGCCGCGACGCCTTTAACATGGGTGAATTTTCCAACACTTACAAATACTGTATATATTCTCTATTTTAAAAATATGTAGTGGAACCTTGTTAATTTGTAATAAAAGTGCAAATTTGGATGACTGGATTTGGGATATGTAGATTGCCGCCAGCTGTTTCTTAACGTACTGTGTGTAGTTGTGGACTAATAGTCTGAGATCCCACCGCTTGATTATGCAGGCATCTGTTTTTTAATGAAACTTAATTTAAATGATTGATTAGTAACTGACAATGCATTAGTAATGGATTGCCTATAAAATAGGCTTAAATACCGCTAGTTAAATTACAATTACAATTTATTAATTTTTGACATCCATTTATCTAGATAAATTGCATTCATAATGATTTTTCAATAAATTTTACGTTTCACCTGAAAGGAAGGTATAAAATAACAATTAAAAAAAGGAAAAAATGGCCACAAGTAGGGGTTGCCTTGATTTAAAGTGTCGTGCCCACAACTTAAATCCTTATAAAACCACCTAGAATAAATGTGACGTTAATATTATTCCTAGTTTTCTCTATCATTTTATATATACGGTCTTCCCGACGGATTGGATGGCCAAAATTGTTGGGCTCGAAAACCACATATGAATTTTTCTTAGGTTAGGTTTTAGCTAAAAGTGCACAGCCCGATTAAGTTTGATTATAAACGGGATGATTATTTTAATTTAATTTAACACTTGCGGATACATTCATTCAATAAGTAATGCATTTGGAAAAGCATTATAATCACTAATGCATTGTATACTTATAAATCTACTTATTTATTCATTTAAATTAAGTTTCATTCAAATAAAGATGGCTGCTGAATCGACGGAGGGATCTCGGAGGTATGATGTTTATCTTTAACTTCTTTTCAATCGAGTGTTCCGCGACACTTACCATTTCTTTTTATAAAAACCTAATTAGTGACGATCATAGGTACAGTGATAATATATGTAAATTAACACATTACATCTCCATAGTTCTCCTGTGAGTAACCCACAAATTTGTGTGGAATACGGAATTAAATATTAAATTTACGCGGTACACCCAGGGCCCTGGCCAGCCAACGGTTATTGTACACGCTATGGACTAAGATTGTATTCATTATGTAAATAATTTTCATGAAAAGAAAACACACAAACAAGTACCTACGGCTATCTTGATACGAGATGGCTGTATTTTATGAAGTTGATAGAAGCTAGATTTTTATAGACGTAAGGAAAAAAACCGGCCGTGTGCGTTTCATGGCACGCGCAGTGTAAGGTTCCTTAGCTGCCTGTAGTTACCACAGTATATTTGTGCTGGAGTGTATATTTTTTCTTTATCAGAAATT